AATAGTCACAATCAGAATGGCCGTTTTGTCGTTGATGCTCACACTGGCTGCACGAACCGCCTCGCTATCACTACGGTGAATGACCCTAGTCATACCGGTATTGTGACTTGGTTGAATGCAATTGCGCGTGCAAGTGACAGGAAATCACGCTTTAACCTTGAAGCGCAAATCGCATCGTGCATCTAGCGCCGTTTGGGTTGTCTATCGAAGTGTGAGTGTGTGATCCCTGCTCCAAGATAATGATTTTATCCCTTGCAGACTGACTTATAAGAGATGCGGCAGTTTTCGTTTTGGAATAGTCTAGAAATCAGTTGGCAAGTTTTCTGAACTTTTCAGGGACAAGCGTTTCCAAGCGTTTTCCAACCGTTTGGGTACGATAAGTTTCTGCAAGTCTGAGCCTGGCCAACACGCTCAGTATTCAAGGAACAACATTGTGTTTGTTGACCTCACGACCATTTGCTCAGCTTCGCCAAAAGGCATAGAATCAGAAGATGAGCTCTTTCACTTCATGTCAAAGTGCTAATTTGGAAAGTACCCGGAAGAAAAACATTTAGACTTCACCTTGTAACAGTAGTAATGAGTGAGATGTTGTGGTTAATGACATTATGCTGAAGGTGTACAGTCCCCAGAATGTCGAGGAACGGTTGAAATCATTGTCTTGATGAAGGTTATTTTATTCTCAAAGGTATATAGAAAAGTAGACAACTGAAGACACGAAGGCACCTCTCAAATGAACTACTGACAGTGGACTTATTTCCTTAACTAAGTTAGAAAAATTAGGCTCAAACTCGGGTACCATTAGCCAAAATTGTGACTTTGCTTGGATTGACTGCATTGTCTCTTGAATTTCTGCATATTCCCTGGAATGTATGAACGCAATGAAATACTAAGGTAGGTTTAGAAGAGTAAAAGAAGAGTACTGATGATCAGTAATTTTGTGTGATCGAACATTTCAAACAATAAAATCAACTGTTTCTTGAAGCATGCATATGGGCCGGTGGGAAAAACTCGGTAGGCTCCGACATGCTTTGTAAATAGGGTTTTCAGAGTCTTCAAAATATTTGGTAATTTTTAAGGAAGTTCTCCGTGTTTCTACTAGATCTTGCTCTCGCCGTCCGCCAAGGGTTCACAGAGGTTAGAAAAATTTCTGATTTAAAGAAATCCGCATAGGAACTCATGGGGGATTACGATTGTACATCGGATACTGGAGGCAACAGTGACCTAACAGCCCGTATAAATCAATATCTGATAAATGATCGTTATGATATTCCCTATTCCATGTCAGATATCCTAGACAGACTGACTACCAGATTCACCTCATGTGTATGGATAGATCAATAATTCTTAGCATAATTCGACTGTTTCTCAGTGAATCATAAGCACAGTTAGCACATTTAGTCCTTTAACCGTTCAATATTCCCCTAATCGTTTCCACCAGAAATTCTGCCAATGAGTTTTGTTACACACTGTCCGATGTTTTCACTGATTTGATGTACACTATTCCACAAGTTCTCGACTGTAAACAAACTCCACGAATCCGACCCAGACTCAACTTGTAAGCCATATGTTTTTCTCAGGCTAGCGCACACACTAAGCATCTTGTGACATTCCTTACTCCCCGGCAGAACTCCACATGTATCAGTCAATTCCTCTAACGCACTTCTGCTCGCAACACTCTCATATCAGAAAATGTGAAATTTCATTTCATCCATGCATGTTCAGGCACGGTGTCTACGCCAGGTGGCCCGGCAGTTTTCGTTTTGGAATAGTCTAGACATCAGTTGGCAAGTTTTCTGAACTTTTCAGGGACAAGCGTTTCCAAGCGTTTTCCAACCGTTTGGGTACGATAAGTTTCTGCAAGTCTGAGCCTGGCCAACACGCTCAGTATTCAAGGAACAACATTGTGTTTGTTGACCTCACGACCATTTGCTCAGCTTCGCCAAAAGGCATAGAATCAGAAGATGAGCTCTTTCACTTCATGTCAAAGTGCTAATTTGGAAATTACCCGGAAGAAAAACATTTAGACTTCACCTTGTAACAGTAGTAATGAGTGAGATGTTGTGGTTAATGACATTATGCTGAAGGTGTACAGTCCCCAGAATGTCGAGGAACGGTTGAAATCATTGTCTTGATGAAGGTTATTTTATTCTCAAAGGTATATAGAAAAGTAGACAACTGAAGACACGAAGGCACCTCTCAAATGAACTACTGACAGTGGACTTATTTCCTTAACTAAGTTAGAAAAATTAGGCTCAAACTCGGGTACCATTAGCCAAAATTGTGACTTTGCTTGGATTGACTGCATTGTCTCTTGAATTTCTGCATATTCCCTGGAATGTATGAACGCAATGAAATACTAAGGTAGGTTTAGAAGAGTAAAAGAAGAGTACTGATGATCAGTAATTTTGTGTGATCGAACATTTCAAACAATAAAATCAACTGTTTCTTGAAGCATGCATATGGGCCGGTGGGAAAAACTCGGTAGGCTCCGACATGCTTTGTAAATAGGGTTTTCAGAGTCTTCAAAATATTTGGTAATTTTTAAGGAAGTTCTCCGTGTTTCTACTAGATCTTGCTCTCGCCGTCCGCCAAGGGTTCACAGAGGTTAGAAAAATTTCTGATTTAAAGAAATCCGCATAGGAACTCATGGGGGATTACGATTGTACATCGGATACTGGAGGCAACAGTGACCTAACAGCCCGTATAAATCAATATCTGATAAATGATCGTTATGATATTCCCTATTCCATGTCAGATATCCTAGACAGACTGACTACCAGATTCACCTCATGTGTATGGATAGATCAATAATTCTTAGCATAATTCGACTGTTTCTCAGTGAATCATAAGCACAGTTAGCACATTTAGTCCTTTAACCGTTCAATATTCCCCTAATCGTTTCCACCAGAAATTCTGCCAATGAGTTTTGTTACACACTGTCCGATGTTTTCACTGATTTGATGTACACTATTCCACAAGTTCTCGACTGTAAACAAACTCCACGAATCCGACCCAGACTCAACTTGTAAGCCATATGTTTTTCTCAGGCTAGCGCACACACTAAGCATCTTGTGACATTCCTTACTCTCCGGCAGAACTCCACATGTATCAGTCAATTCCTCTAACGCACTTCTGCTCGCAACACTCTCATATCAGAAAATGTGAAATTTCATTTCATCCATGCATGTTCAGGCACGGTGTCTACGCCAGGTGGCCATGTTCACAGCAATTGTTACGGTTTAATGGCAAAAGCACGCAAGTGCACATCGCCTGTGCTTTCGAGCCCACTATGTTTCTAGACAATTCCGTGGAAATTCATGGTCGCGTCTTAACTTTTACGTGAAATAGGTGCAGAATTTCGGGGTTTACTCTACTAGACGTTCTTTTGATGGACGTTGCTCTGAGTCAGTAGTGTCATAAATAATGTCGGTTAACTGGAAACGTTGCACGAAATGGCGGCTAATCGATGAAGCATCAGTGTTAACACTCATGTTGCTGTCTTTGATGATGATGATGATGATGACGATGATGATGATGATGGTGATGATGATGATGACTGGATATGGATAGTTCAGGCCAGTCATCTTGATGTGATCGGAATATTGGCTTTATCAGGGAATTACACAAAACTCGGAGAAGATCAGCTTGCATAGATGAGACAGTTGTCATGAAGAAGTTTAATGAAATGGTGTCAAGAGGAGGTCTGTTCGATTCAAGCTACCGTGCAGTTGACAACTGACCCACAGAAGCAGTTTGGTCCCCTGTCGTGTTATTAACTCCTTAGCCTTCCATTATTAACTCCGAATATCGAATTATCCGTTTACTGTGTCCATCCTGTTCACACTGCATTCCTACATATTCTTTGTTTTTGTTTTGGAATTTCCTGCACTGAATTGCTAAGATCTTAACCTCGCGGTGTACACAGCTTCGAGTGAACCTTGTGTGGGCGCGTTTCAGATTCAGCTGTCTGCTACGTCATTCGCCTCAGTTGACACACTTTTAGGACATTGCACCACAATGCCGACCAATTAGGTGCTCCAATCTTGAGACAGGAATTAGTTGTGCGTCTACTTTCCACACCATAGACTACCAATCCTCGGTTTAATTAGCGCTATTTCTGAATGGCGACTGCATGCACGCATGCCTGAAAAAAAGACAAAAGGTGTGGGCGTAGAAAGAAAAACAACCAGCCAAGTTGCTAATGCCTTTTCTGCAGCTGTATTTATTTAGTAACTGTATTCTAACATCGATAGGACTGAGCTCTAATCCTATGTCTCGTGGTGGCAAGTCCCAGGCTGAAGTTTGTTTACTTCAGTCGCAAGTCGTAGGCGTCGACCGACGATTCCCGTCATCCCATCGGAGGACGTTTCAGCACACGCGGCATTGCAGAAAAATTGATCATCTGGTATTCGAAGCACATAGCCAGCAGTCCCAGTCGATGCCGGTCGCGTATGCCGAACCATCGTTTGCCGAAGAGAGTGCTGTTTTCCATGCCCACTTCAGAGTGGCGTAAACAGAGAGGTGGCCAACTTTTGACTTGACATAGGAGTCACGAAACGCTTGGGTGCTGTCGATGCTACTCGCCTTCCAGGATGGGGACAGTGTGATCCTCACTGCGCCTGGTTGGAGACACTACAAGATATGGCTACCAACCGATGTCAGTGGCGTTCTTGTTGTGAGCGTCTGGAGGCATAGGCACCTCGGAATGATTGTGGTAAGCTAGCACTAAGTCCCTTCCCAGTCCATTTTTACCATTTTCTTTACATTAAGGCTTTCAAATAAATCATGGTTGTACGGCAGTGGAGCATCGGCGTTGAACACTGATGTCATGCTGTCGATGATGATGTTGCCGGTCGCTCATTGAATCAGACGATTAATATCCCTTCTATGAGAATGAATTAAGCACCGCACTGTCAGCTGTAATAAATTAAGTCCTTGTATCGGATTTCTCTACTAGGTTGTAAAATCCCCACAAATCATTTTCCCTCATTTTCGTGCAGATCTGTTCGTTGGACAGCTAATGAGCACCTTGGAATGTGCTGAATGCGGGTTCAAGTCAACTACCTTTGATCCGTTCTGGGACTTGAGTCTACCCATCCCAAAAGTGAGTGCATTTGTAACCAGACACTGATATATCTTTCCAGTGCATCGCTTGAAATATCCTGATTCCTATCTCCGGCTTGTATTCATCGCACCAACGGATAAAATGAACTTTATTTGCTCTTGACACGGCCCACTTTATAAAGTTGATGGAAACCATTGGTTTCGCTCGTCCCTGATGTGTCATCCCTGCGTTCTTATTCCTCTGAGCCATAACTGAGTACCATGTCCAGATTAAACACTAAGCGTATAGCTAAACCAGTCTGCCGATATTTTTCATCAACCAATCAGCATCAGGCCTCCGATTCCGTTAGGTTTGAAAGTTGCTCACTTGCCATCCGTCTGAACATAAACTCACGGCTAACCCAGGTTACATGGCTAGGCCTTTGGTCTGGTGACCTGGCCTTATGTGCAGCAGTGCCTGCACTCTTGCATTGTGTGAAATAAGCATCGGGAATGCATATTATAACATTGGCCCAGCGAGTTCAGATGATTTTTGATGAGGAAAACATTAGTTGTTATGAATGTAGAATGATTATGTCGCTTCACACTTCATTTTAGTAAATCACTTTTTGATTTCTTTATATTTTATTGGATTATTGCTCGAACCGCTCCCTGCGACGGGGTAAGAATAAATGGGCGGTCAAAAACTGTCATTACTGGTCGCCAAGCGATTTTGAGCCATTAGCATGGCGTCTAGACAGCCAGGATAATTTGACAGAATGCGCTTTATGACTTCATGAATATATATGCATGTAATGCAGCACGTGTACACTCGATGCCTACCCAGTTTATCCTCTTGCGTATCCGAATTAGGGTGCGATAGGTTTGAGATGTATCTTTCGGTAGCTGTTTTAGAATGCATCACTGGCCTGTCTTTCTTAAACTGTAACCGCAACAGAGTGTTCTTCGGTGATGTCTTCGCTGAAGGAGTCGAAATTATGCGAAATTCTTGCGATGATCGGTCGTTAACACCAGGAGGACGGACTCACCCCCCTTGTGTACGTGCCTCTGGATCCCTAAGTGAAAGTTATGGTCATCATAAAGGCTGTTGAGATTCGCTGAAGAACTGTTAGCAGTACTGACGTACGTCAACGGACGCAGATACGCGCTAGTTTGAAATTTGACACAAACCCCCAGGGTAAGCCGTTTATTCAGTGCTCAACTTTAGTATAGCTACACGTGATCAACGTGCCTCTTGCCGGGCTGAAGGCGCACGTGTTTACTCCCTCACATGTATTTTACTAGGTAAGCTAGGGTCGCCGACTGCTCTTGTTCAAAGCCAAAAAAGCGCAACTGTTTATTCAGGAGCCCAACCCAACAGCTAGAGTAGAATTTAGGGTGCAAGTATGCGTGACGTGCGAGAAGTATTTGCGACACGAGGCCGGGTTTTGGACCGTTCTGCTGAAAATCTGTTGGAAAACGGGTGACCGATATTCTGGCATCCGAATGAGTGGCTCCAGCCGTACAATTGGTTTTTGCAAGAAATTGTCCGCAATCCGAAAGTGAAACAGCGTGTGCAGTATTTCCGCCCTGACTATATCCCCAAAGTTCCTGTGCAACAGCTGGTTGCACCGCAGCCCAAACATTATCAGAGCACATGCTCCGTCACGTTAGTTGCACACCAAAAGCCTACAACTCATCAAGTCACCAAGAAGTTGTTCGTCTGTTCTCCAAGCTTGGTAGTTGGATTGCAGCCCAATTGCTCAGGACCAACAATTAAGCAGCGCACCTGAGCTACCTACATTCCGAAGCACTGTCTGCCACCACAACGACATGCACAAAGCTGCGGTGCTGCAGACGACCAAGAAGTCGCCAGAGAACTGGGACAGCTGGATCGAGATCTTGCAGCTTTGAAATGCAGTGTTCCTCGGAATCCCCAATTAGGGGGTGCCTGATGAACATATCTGTACACCGAACTTATTAAGTGATGTATGGACATCACCATGAGCAAAACAATGGTTGAAGTTTTTGCGCGTAATGCAGTGTTCCTCGGAATCCCCAATTAGAGGGTGCCTGGTGAACATATCTGTACACCGAACTTACTAAGTGATGTATGGACATTACCATGAGCAAAACAATAATTGAAGTTTTTGCGCATGTTACTGACCAGTCTATTGGAAACATACGTGATGATAATCACATTGAAAACAGTAACAAACCCGGAATGTCAAGATGAGTGGAAAAAAGCCTGTAATCTCAAAGGGACCTGCGACATTGAATGGTCCCAACTAGAGAAACGGAGCGAGATCTTTCAGGGGATTCGAATGGCGTAACAAGCTTTATCTTAGCTAGACACTTTTGCGATGATTCCAGTAAATTCTCTTATCTTTGATCTGCTAATTGATTTCTCCGCGCGAAGAACCACAACATTTGCGAGCTGCTAATTTTTCGGGAGCTGAGCGGAACACAGCTTGTTTTAGAAGGTTTGCTTGTGACCCAGTGCGACACAGCGTTACTTCTTTCGTGCTTATATCAGACACAATATCCAGCTTATCGATCGCATGACATCACACAAATCCTACTCCTTTCTTATCTGTCAACGCCTTATTTCTGTTCTGGTTCCAGAAGGCCAATGTAAATATCATGGACTGTCTACGGTTGTTTACCTCTAAAGAGGATTTAGATGGACACGAAAGACCAGTAAGTTGTTTCCTCACGTGACTGTGTCCTTCAACTTTCACCAAGTGACTTGTATGTTTTATCTGAACCAGGCGGGATGACTTCTAATATTTCACATCCATTCCTCTTGCACTCTTGGCCTTGAGTCTGTAGAGTCCGCCGGCAACCGAGAATACAGCGACTAGGGACTCTCTTCTTGTACTTAAGTGAAGAGAGAATTGAAGTTGTGATGTAGGCATGGCTCATCAGTTGTCTGGATACCCTTCAAACGAGTGATCTACACAAGGCTGCAGTCCGTTAGTTCACATGTGTTGACAGTCTGAAAAAAGGGTGAGTACAATGGATCTCAGGTACTGCATCGCTGGCACGATGCAGTGACACACGAATGCTGACACGAAAATGCAGTGGTTTACTTAAATCCTTCTGTTATGGAAATAATATAGTCAGTAGTGCTTTTTTATTTAGCTTAAAAACGACTGATTCTTGAAAGTGGTTCCACCCGGACTAGGGTAGGCTAACTTGGGTATGCAAAGGGGGGATCGATCACCTCGTGTGTGCTACCGTTGGTGACCCTTTTCCAACACGACCCCCGGTCGCTTTCCAAGGGATGCCAAGAGAAAACGCAACTCAAATTAATTATCCATTGGACCATAACTAAATGGGCAAGAAAGTCCCTTCGTTAACTTAAGGCTTGTATCTGTGAAGAGCCTCCCCAACCTAGACCTTCGCCGGAACTGGCCAAAACGAATAACCGTCGTTCACTGTTGAGTCGGGTATCAATCCGTTTAGCTTCCGGTTCGCTCACAGTGTCTGACGATGTCAACATTACTCTACTGTCATATGTACAGATCTTGTCACAGAATGACGGGTCTCAGCAGCTACGGTATGTGATTTTCTTGGAGTCTTATCAAAGTAAAATATGGCAAAGTATGCCCATCACGCACGATGCAGTGACACACGAATGCTGACACGAAAATGCAGTGGTTTACTTAAATCCTTCTGTTATGGAAATAATATAGTCAGTAGTGCTTTTTTATTTGGCTTAAAAACGACTGATTCTTGAAAGTTGTTCCACCCGGACTAGGGTAGGCTAACTTGGGTATGCAAAGGGGGGGTCGATCACCTCCTGTGTGTTACCTTTGGTGACCCTTTTCCAACTTGATCCCCGGTCGCTTTCCAAGGGATGCCAAGAGAAAACGCAACTCAAATTAATTATCCATTGGACCATAACTAAATGGGCAAGAAAGTCCCTTCGTTAACTTAAGGCTTGTATCTGTGAAGAGCCTCCCCAACCTAGACCTTCGCCGGAACTGGCCAAAACGAATAACCGTCGTTCACTGTTGAGTCGGATATCAATCCGTTTAGCTTCCGGTTCGCTCACAGTGTCTGACGATGTCAACATTACTCTACTGTCATATGTACAGATCTTGTCACAGAATGACGGGTCTCAGCAGCTACGGTATGTGATTTTCTTGGAGTCTTATCAAAGTAAAATATGGCAAAGTATGCCCATCACGAGAATACAAAACGTCAAAAGAGGGTTTGCAGTGCAGTTTAACCAACACTAGTGTCAGTCAAGGACTCTAGTCGTACTGCGTCGTGTATTGTATTGTATTAAATTCATTGTGGCTTAGCGAAAGAGCCTCTCTGAGTGAGTCTT